AGCTCAATGACTTCAACTGTTTCATGTCCTCTCTGAGAAGGTGATTTGAAGACTCCCTGGCTGATCGCAAAGCCCGCGAAAGGATAAAAACGATGAGGCAAGGCAAACGCCCGGTGGCCGAATATATGCAAGAATTCCGGGCCATTGCCAGCAAACTGAACTGGCCAGAAGACATCCTGCTTAGCCATTTCAAAGACGGACGAAATTATGACCTATATGATGTTTGCCTGCCCCAAGGGAACCCACACCAACTTGAGGAATGGTACGTCTTGGCAGAGGAAGCAGAGATCGACATATTGAAGAGACACCGCCAAGGAAAACAATGGAGCCGCTCCCCGGCTGAGTTGACACACGAACCAGTGAAAACATTGGCTACAGCCAAGAAGCAAATAGGGTGTTTCAAGTGCGGAAGAGAAGGGTATTGAGCTGTAGAATGCTGCTCAGAAGCCCCCCCCAGCACAACCCAGACAGATCCCCAATCAGCAAATCCGGAAAGTCTTCAACTAAGCCAAAAGAAACTGCCATGAGAACGATGGAAATTGTGGAACCCCCCACTTCTGCTTATCAGGGGGAAAGAACTCCAGCCTACACTGCAAGGTGTGTGGACGCCTCAGATGACAGCTCGGAGGGCGAACCCCTGGTAAGTGGACGCATCGCACCCATCCTCAAGACAGTGACTATATTAATTCCCCCCATGCCCGAAGCAGTGAAGGTGAAAGCCTTAATAGACTCTGGCTGCACCCGCTGCCTCTTTAGCCCAACACTAGTGGGGAATCTGGGCATTCCGTCGAGGAGACTGGAACAACCAATCTCATTTGGCCAGTTAGATGGATCCATAGCAGAGGGGGGGTGCCAGCTACCCTAGCCACTTTACCAATACACCTCTCCCTGGGCAAACATGAGGAGGACACAATGTTTGTGGTGACCCAAGGCATGGAATGCCCAATGATCCTAGGGATGGAATGGTTAAAAAAATGGAACCCCTGGGTGAATTGGAGGACGTCAGAAATCAAATTCCCGAAGGGGGACCCTATGGACTTAAAATCCGAAGGGGGGCTACCAGAATCAAGAATAGAAAAAGCATCCATGGGAGAGGAAATGCCAGAGGAATACAGAGATCTTGCTGAAGTTTTCAGTGAGTAGGGGGTGGATGAGCTCCCCCCCACCGACCCATAGACTGTGCCATTGAATTCAAGCCTGGGGCAAAACTCCCAAAGTCCAGATTATACTCCATGAGCCCAAAGGAGAAGGAGGAAATGGAAAGATTCATTTTAAAAAAGCCTAGAAAGGGGTTTCATTGAGCCAGCCAAGCCTAAAGTGGCTGCCCCGGTCCTCTTTAGAGAGAAGAAGGATGGCTTTTTACGTTTATGTGTGGATTATAGGGCCCTGAATACAATCAGTGAAAGCAACCTATACCCTCTGCCCCTCATGAAAGACATGCTGTCACACCTATCGAAAGGGAAAATTTTTTCTAAACTAGACCTAAGGGAACTTACTATCATGTGAGAATTAAGGAAGGGGATGAATGGAAGACTGCATTTAACTGCTCCATGGGGTGCTATCAATTCAAAGTCTTGCCATTTGGATTACAAGGGGGCCCTGCAGTATTTATATAGTTAATCAATGATGTTCTAAGGGAGCACCTATTTAAGGGGGTCCTTGTTTACTTGGACAACATTCTTATCTTCACCAAAACAAAAGAGGAACATGTCAACCTAGTCAGAGCGGTTTTAAAGAAACTGTGTGCCGCCCACCTATATGCCAAACTCTCAAAATGCAAATTCCACCAGGAAAGGATAGACTACAGAGGTTATTGCATATCCCCCCAGGGCATTGAAATGGACCCAGAGAAGGTCAGAGCAGTATTAGATTGGGCACCACCCCGCACAAGAAAGCAACTACAAAGTTTCTGGGCTTTGCAAACTTTTACCGCACAATTCATCCCCTCATTTGCCCAGATAGCCTTGCCCCTCACTAACTTACTAAAAATGAAGGGAGCATCCTCAGTAAAACCTAGCCAGCCACTAACATGGACAATGGAGTGCCAAGCAGCGTTTGAGAGATTAAAGAACCTTTTTTGTGCCGAACCAGTACTAAGGCACCCAGACATGGATAAGCCCTTCGTAATACAGGCGGATGCAAGTGATGTGGCAGTGGGGGCTGTTCTATTACAAGAAAACGATGAAGGGGTATTGCAACCCTGTGCATATACATCCAAGAAACTCACAGAAACAAAACAGCGCTGGCCCGTATGGGAGAAAGAGGCATACGGGATACATTGGGCATTACTCACGTGGCGACAGTTCCTGGAAGGCAACAAAATCCCTTTCCAAGTGTGGACTGATCACAAAAATTTGGAAGCCCTGAAAGCACCCAGGAAGCTCAATCCCAAACAAGTCCGCTGGTCCCAGCATTTTCACCAGTTCCAATTTAAGCTCAAACATTTGCCGGGGAAATATAACAGCACGCGAGCCACAGACTCTAAACCAATGATGGCAGAGTCACAACTGGCAGCACCACTAACCACCAGAACCCATGCTAAATTAAAACCACAACTGGACGGCCAAACTGGAATTGAATTCTGGAAAAGTTTGGAAACAGATGAATGGTTCCAGAAAAACAAAAATGTGTGCACAATGAGAGACGGGTTGCCTTGGGTAGGGGAAAAATTATATATACCAACAACCCAAAGAGTCACATTCATGCAGCTTTGCCATGACACAAAATCAGGAGGGCATTTTGGATTTGTAAAAACTTTACACTTAATTAAATGGCAATTTTGGTGGCCATCCATAAAAAAGGACATAGAAAGCTACGTGGCCGGCTGCCCAAAATGTGCAACTGCAAAGAGGTTGCAAAGGAAATTGCCAGGACTATTACAAACAGTGGCAAATCCCTCAGCCCCCTGGAGAGAAATAGCCATGGATTTTATAGTGGAATTGCCAGAAAGCAACGGGAATACTGTTGTCTGGATGGTCACGGACTTGTTTTCCAAACAGGTGCACTTTATCCCTTGCCAAAAGATTCCCACCACAAAAGCCTTTGCAAAACTTTTCATCCAGCACATTTACAGATTGCATGGGGCACACCAACGCATCATCTCTGATAGGGGAGTGCAATTTATGTCTGCATTTTGGAAGGAATTTTTATCCCTTTTAGGAACCACTCAGGGACTGATATCTAGCCATCATCCACAGGGAAATGGGGGTGTGTGTGTGAAAAAATGAACTCAGTACTTCAGCAATATCTAAGATGTTTTCTTAATTTCCAACAGACCGACTGGGCGGATTTACTCCCTTTTGCTGAAGTTGCCTACAATAATGCAGTCCACTCCAGCACAGGTTTATACCAGTGGTTTGGCCTATCAGTTTTGGTGGGAGTAGTCTTGGAGGTTCTTTGGTTGGGCTGTTTACTATTAGTTTGTTTGGCAGCTCCTTGATTTGGGTATTGTTTACTTCTTGATTGTTGATCTAATGTTAATACTGATGTTAATCTCTACTCATTTGTGTATTCATTGCTGGTGTTTTGGTTTTTTGACTTCCCTTTTGGCTTTTTGGTTGTCTCTTTTGAATGATATGTAAATGTTTATGTCTACATGCCCATTGATGGCGATTTGTCTGAGTGCTAGGCTTCTGGGAATTCTCTAGAAATTTTTAGATTTAGCTCGGTCTGGGATGCTCACAGCTTCTCAGTTGAAATTATGGTTATGTCTCCCCGTGTCTTGTGAAATTAAAGAGTTTTCATAATGTCTTCTGTAATGTAAAAATGATATAAAGCAAATGTAAAATTGATATAAAGACTATTTGAGAAGTAATCAGCAGACAACTCTGTTTTCAGTAAAGAAGGATGATAATTCCTTGAAATACCCCTAATGCTGTCTCAATGTCCAGCTCTATGTGAAAGCAGCAATATCAGCAGTTCTTATGTGCAAAGGATGCCTGCTCTTAAATTAATAACATTAATATCAATTGGTGAGCTAGGCAGTAACACAAAGTTCAGCTTGAATAGATGACATGAGGAGAGATCAGTTTTCCTTTCCAGGAGAACAGGAGCTAAAAATAATGGTTCACCATAAGAAAGGAGACAAGAGTTCATCTTCTTCTGCTTATGTTGCATTTAAATCCCCTTTTGATTTATAAGGAATTGACAGCAACCTGACTATCTCCTAAGTTACCTCCAGCTTTTTTTTAAACCATCTGATAAATCAAAATAGGAATGACTAAATTTCAATCTGAACAATAGCTCACAGAAGATAAATGCAGAACATTTGTTTACATATATTTTCTTAAACTGCAAGCTAACTGTAAAGCCATAGGGCAAGTTTCACAGTCTGGAAATGACTTACAATTAGATGGTAATCTGAACCAAATGGGATCCCCTTCAAATCCCCATAAAAAAGCAAATCCTAGAAGCATTTTATGGAGATTTTCCTTCATAAAATGAATAACAAAAGCATCTCATTTAAAACACTCTAATTGTTTTTAGTAAAACAAATAATACAAAAAAATAATTGCAAGGGAAATTGCCATAAACTTGTGCATTATGATTGATGATTGCCAGTTTTCTGCATAAGGAAGAATGCAGAATCTCCATGACTTCTTCCCCACCCTCCGTTTTCCCTTTCTCTCACTCAGAGGCAGAGTGCCAGCAGTCCCTCAATCGTGTCATATCTTTCCTTTTTATTCATTGCAGGATCTATTAATAGCTTTAAACAACTGCTTCCTAAAAATGGAGTTCTGAATGACACAGAAGCTGGCTTGAGCTATGTAAGGTATCCAGGGTTTGGTCTCTCAGCTTGTCCTATTTTTCTGCCTTTCTGCCTCTTCAAACAAGGGTTACTTGCTTGCTGCAGATGCTTCCTGGTGACCAGAATCCATCTAGATCAATTTACTGGAAAAAGTGGGGATCAGACTGGTGCACAAAAGTTGCTGAATTTCTCCAGGCTTTTCCCTTAAAATTTCCTTTTCTTCTCCCAGATAAACCCACAGAAGTACAGCAGTATGAAGGCAGCTTGCTGGTTCCTGGCAATTTTTTATGTGCTTGCCTGCTACAGGGCTGAAGAAGGACTGGACTTCCCTACCTATGATGGGAAAGATCGTGTGGTTGACTTGAGTGAGAAAAACTACAAGCAGGCCTTAAAGAAGTACGATATGTTTGGTGTGCTGCTCCATGAACCAGTGACTTCCGACAAAAGCTCTCAAAGACGGTTTCAAATGACTGAGATGGTGCTTGAGGTATGTGTAACTACAGGTTTATGTAATTGTTCATCTATCTCTATTGGCTCTTTATAGGCATGAAATAATTTGGAACCTAAATTGGAGCAGGATACAGCTCTTCAAATGGGCATTTGAGAGAAATATTAATGCAGACTTATATTATCTTTGGCAATTGATTTCTAAATCTTAACGATACCTTTAAGAACAAAACTCTGCTTCTCAAACTGTACTGCTTCACTTATTTTAAGCAAAAAGTTTCTTTCATCCACAGTTATTCTCCTTCTCATCCAAACTAAATTAGAAAACATTTAGTAAGCCAAGCTGAAACAACTTCAAGTTCCATGTTCTTTGCAGTTTATCAGTCTTGGTTAAGTATTCATTTCTGAGCAAAAAAACCCCAACCTAATTAATATTCTAGAGATGAAATGGTTCCAATATTAATGAAGCTAATCTAATAAAATGGAATACTATTACTGTCAGAAATATTCTAGAAGAAGCAGCTAATTACAATTGAGAGAGAAATATTTTTTACAGGCTGTTAATGGGAAACAATAGCTACTTTATAGAAATAGAGCAGATTCAAGGTCATATTACTAGCTGATGAAGTTAGTCTGTTTTTGTCTATATAGCAATTGTGTTTTCAGAATAAGCAAGTATATAGAATTACCCCACAATATTGTCTTCTAAACATCTTCTTGGAATCCTGTACTCTACTAAAACTCATAATTGGGTCTCATTTGAGCATAACGCCTTCTAGATTTGGTAAGACGTGATACTAGAATCTTATACGGTTAGAGAATTTTGTGCAATTATTAACAGAATCTAAAGCTATGAGATAGTTTCTATCCACAAAGAAAGCTAGCTTATGGTTCACTATTGTGTGAGAGAAGTACCTATTGACAATATCTGTGACAGTGCATAGCTACCCAAAAGCTCCATTCACACAATTATTCACCTTTAAAGGTTGGGTTCTGGCAGCAGAGGAATCACTATACAGCAACTTTTTCCTATATTGCTAAGGCAGTGTGAGAAATCACAATGCATATAGAAGAAGTTGCTTCTTCAATGTCTCTCTTTATCAGCAATAATACCCAGAGCAAATATCAGAATGAGAGAATATGCAGCATCTGTGATCTATCTCTGTGATTTGGTCCTTTCTTTATCACCTGAGAAGGAGCAATATTGTGGCCATCCATTTGCCAGTAAGGCAAAGTAAAAACAAACCCAAAAGATATGTGGGTTGTGAACACCTTTCATGATAATGACCAGGATGTGGCAAAATTATTAGAAATTGCAATAATATATTGGTGACACACCTTAAATTGTCACAATTTGTCTCTGAGCTTTGTTTGAATCATCAAAAAAAGGAAGCAAGAAAGCAAAATGCAAAGGTTTTCCCTGTCCAATCATCTCCAACTCTGGGGGATGGTGCTCGTTTCTGTTTCCTAGCCGAGGGAGCCAGCATTGTCTGAAGATGCTTCTATGGTCATTGGCTGGCATGACTTTCTTGGTCATCATTTCATTTTGCTACAATTTTACCCCCATCTGTGATATGTTCTATTACTTTCTCCTTAAAATGGTCTGTTCTCCACTGAGCATGTTTGGGGGTTTGGACTATAAAACTACAAACGTACTTTGCAGTTGCCCATTTCTTAAATTGTACCTTGGAGTTCTTGTTTTCTGTGTGAATAAAATATGTATCGTTTCCCCTCAGAAGTGTAAATAACTAGAAACTTCAAGAGATGATCCTTCTATTTAAAAACAGAAAGTCTTGCTGCTTATGGTCACTTCCACATTAGATTTCTGTGGCAATGAAAAAATAGTTCCTAACTATTATGTTCCCATAAGGGTCTCTTGATCCTGTCATTCAAGATTTAGCACTGCTTTTGCCTTTCCCCATCATGCCATGACACTCCCACGGTTCTTCATGAGCTAAAACAATGAACTTTTGAAATTAATCAACTGAAGTGCTGCTCCTCCATAGCTGGACTGGGCATTTCCCAATAGAAGGAATTCCTGTCTTGTTCTGCTTTGGCTCTTGGATCTTTCTCTCTCTCCCACCCCACCCCCCATTTCTGAAGCAAAGCATCTGTGGGGCCTTACTATCATTCCTTTATCACTTGCTGGGTGCTCTGAGTGGTTGCTTTATCAGCATAGTGCTGAGGAGGGGGTTGACCATTTGTCTTTTTCAGCTCACTTTTTTCTCCTTTGTTACTAAGATTAAATTTGGCAAAGGAAGAACAAGGAAGGGGCAGCATACCAGCTAATTGCTATTTAACTTCCCATTCGCCCCATTGGATAGCTTCACAGACTGTTGGCCAATGGAAGGGAAAAGGAGGCAAGGAATGGCACAGAACTGGTGCAGGTTGTTTGTCATGAAGTCATATGTTCAGCTGCACTGTATAGTTGAAACTACTGAGAAGCTAGAGGTTCTTTTTGTTTTGTGGTTTAAATAACATTATCCCATTGGGAGTAATTTTTGCCTTAACCTTCTTTCTGGCTCCTGAGTTTTAGGTCCTTTAAGAGCTAAACCCGTATGGGTTTCTCCAGGAATCCAGATGAAATGGAAACAACTGAAAGTGACATGAGTTTTGCTTCATTTCTTATTTTTCTTCAGCAACAAATATATAGAATCAGGCTACTGAGTATTTCTTTTTCTTTTCCCTTTTCTTTTGTGTATAGTGAGAGTGAGGGATTTTGTTCCTGAAGAATCTGCAGAAACTTGATTCACAATGGTATTCTTTATTCCTTGTTCTTGACATTTCCAGTTATTAGAGATGATGGTTTGGGGACTGAAAATTGTAGTAGTATCTCACATTAATAAGACCTTTGTATAGGCACAGGTGTTTGTATCCAAATATCAATGTCATTCATTTGGAGGTTTTTGGATGTTCCTTTTTAGTTCTCCCCCCCCCCTTATCAAGGAAATCTGATAAGGAGAATAGAATAAAATAACTGCCTATCTGTAGCTCCCTGAATCCTCCAATTAAATGCCTCAGTTAACAGATGAAAAAATAATGGAGTAGTAAAATATACAAAATCATTATGCCTAAGAGATATAATAATGTTAGTTATAAAGGCTGATTTAATTCCTTATGGCAAGTCACTATATTTTCTGTACAGTGGACTGGTGGAACAACACATTCATATTCCATTTTTTGTTGTTCATTGGGAGGCAGCCATGACTGCTAATTTTCCATAGGACATCTACATCTTATCTGGTTACTTCATCAACAGGAAAAAGATTTTTCAACTCACGCTGTAAGAATGTGACATATACAGTAGTGGACTCATCTGAATGCTGATTGTCTCTTGGAGCATCTCACAAAAGGTTTCATATGACCTAGCTGGATCATATTTTTATTTGGACAGAGTGTTCCTATTTTTAATGACCTTAAGCAAAGTGTTTCAGCTTTCTAAACTTAAAGGGGATCATGCTGAACTTTGAACTTCTTTTTAAGCTTTATTGCCAAGGCCTAAAATGGAAATGCTAAAAGAAACTAAAATCAGAGGTTTTGCAGTAGCATACATAAGAGTGAGGGGCTTTGGTGCCCTCAAGTGACTCTTGAATTCTGGTGAGTACTTGGAGAAGTCCCTACAGTTTTCTTAGCAAGTTTTTTGGAAGTGGTTTGCCATTACCTTCTTCCTAGGACTGAAAGAGAGAGACTGGCCCAAAGGCCAAAAATTATCCATCTAGAAAATACTGATAATAAAAATACTTGCATTGAAATAGGTTCTGAGATCCATAGCTCATGTTATTTTCAGATGAACTTTTTATTGTGCAACAGCTAGCAACTTCTTCATGAAATGTTATGGGGAGCCACTTGATAATTAACTCTTATTTGCAAACATATATTGGAATAATAGCATTTTTTAAATTAGGAAAAACTGAAACATAGTGGGGAGGCATTATCCTGCAGAAAGATAAAAATTGGTAAGTACTCTCCTTTACATATTCTCCTCTCCACCTTTGTTATTACCTAACAAAATGGAAGCACTAGATAATAAATGTATGGCACAACACAGGAGAACAAACCCATCAGGACAAGATTCAGCACCCCATCTGCATTTAAAAGACAAAGGCCACTCTTTCGAAGACAGCAAAGTCCACATTTTGGACAGAGAGGACCACTGGTTTGAAAAAGGGGTCAAAGAGGCCATCTATGTCAAAACTGAACAACTCTCTCTCAACAGAGGGCGAGGGATATGACTTTATCCATCTCCAGTCTACAACACAATCCTTTCAATAGTTCCAAGAAGGCTCCATTTGCACTACTCAAGTGACTCTGATGACACAGATAAACCTCCAAGTGGCCTCAACAACTCTCTAAAAGAATGCAAATGACCAGCTGTCTGCAAGGAGTATAAATCCGTTCATTCCCCACCATCCAGTCAGAGCTGGAGAAGCTTCTTGGATGAGAAGTGAAACGTCTTCAAAGAAAAACAAGAAAGTTCAGATGTCTCATGAAAAAGCATCTTTGGGACAAGCATTGGAGAGATTTTTCTCCCTCTCCTTTGTATTAATATAAAAGGATGCTTTGTGCTCAGGCTCTGGGAGAAAAATGATGAAGTTGTCTGTTAAAATAATAGTTTGAACTAACCATTTTTTAGTCATCAAATCTAAAAGGAAAAAATAGCACGTTTTAATTTTATCGTGCAAATAATGGAGATGAGGAAAACCGTATGAGGCCTCAATTCATATCTGGATTTTTTTTCATACAGTACATTTCGATTGAAATTAAAAATAATCATATACAAAGGTGCACACTCGCATATACAAGTGAAAAACATCAAGCTGGCAATTTTCTCAGAATTTGTGAATTTCCTGCAGTTAGGCAGGAAAAACCAAATGCACAAATATAGGCAGGAGCAGGCTCAACAGCAGTAATGGTGAGAGGAATTTAGGTGTCCTAGTGGACCACCATTTAGGCATGAGTCAGCAGTATGCTGCAGGTGCCCCCCTCAAAAAAGCCAATGCAGTCTTAGGCTGCACAATAGAGGGGTAGAATCAAGACCAT